GTAGGTAGGTAGAGTAGGTAGGTAGAGTACTTAGGTAGGTAGAGTAGGTAGGTAGGTAGAGTAGGTAGGTAGACTGCTTAGGTAGGTAGGTAGGTAGAGTAGGTAGGTAGAGTAGGTAGGTAGACTACTTAGGTAGGTAGAGTAGGTAGGTAGGTAGGTAGGTAGGTAGAGTAGGTAGGTAGAGTACTTAGGTAGGTAGAGTAGGTAGGTAGAGTACTTAGGTAGGTAGGTAGAGTAGGTAGGTAGACTACTTAGGTAGGTAGATAGGTAGAGTACTTAGGTGGATCCGATGGATCCAATGGATAAGAATTTAGTTATATAAAAAAAAAAGAATGGATCCGGTGGATCCGAAGGATCCGGTGGATCCCGTGGATCTGAAGGATCCGGTGGATCCAATGGATCCGGTGGATCCGGTGGATCCGCATGGATCCGGTGGATCCCATGGATCCGGTGGATCCCATGGATCCGGTGGATCCGATGCATCCCGTGGATCTGAAGGATCCGGTGGATCGCATGGATCCGGTGGATCCGATGGATCCGGTGGATCCGATGGATCTGAAGGATCCGGTGGATCGCATGGATCCGATGGATCCGAAGGATCCGGTGGATCCGATGGATCCCGTGGATCTGAAGGATCCCGGTGGATCCAATGGATCCGATGGATGGATGGATCCAATGGATCCGGTGGATCCCATGGATCCGGTGGATCCCATGGATCCGGTGGTCGCATGGATCCGGTGGATCGCATGGATCCGGTGGATCCGATGGATCCCGTGGATCCGGTGGATCCGATGGATCCCGTGGATCTGAAGGATCCGGTGGATCCCATGGATCCGGTGGATCCCATGGATCCGGTGGATCCGAAGGATCCCGTGGATCTGAAGGATCCGGTGGATCCCATGGATCCGGTGGATCGCATGGATCCGATGGATCCGGTGGATCCGATGGATCTGAAGGATCCGGTGGATCCCATGGATCCCATGGATCCGGTGGATCCCATGGATCCGAAGGATCCCGTGGATCTGAAGGATCCGGTGGATCGCATGGATCCGATGGATCCGGTGGATCCGATGGATCCCGTGGATCTGAAGGATCCGGTGGATCGCATGGATCCGATGGATCCGGTGGATCCGATGGATCCCGTGGATCTGAAGGATCCCGGTGGATCCAATGGATCCGATGGATGGATGGATCCAATGGATCCGGTGGATCCCATGGATCCGGTGGATCCCATGGATCCGGTGGTCGCATGGATCCGGTGGATCGCATGGATCCGGTGGATCCGATGGATCCCGTGGATCCGGTGGATCCGATGGATCCCGTGGATCTGAAGGATCCGGTGGATCCCATGGATCCGGTGGATCCCATGGATCCGGTGGATCCGAAGGATCCCGTGGATCTGAAGGATCCGGTGGATCCCATGGATCCGGTGGATCGCATGGATCCGATGGATCCGGTGGATCCGATGGATCTGAAGGATCCGGTGGATCCCATGGATCCCATGGATCCGGTGGATCCCATGGATCCGAAGGATCCCGTGGATCTGAAGGATCCGGTGGATCGCATGGATCCGATGGATCCGGTGGATCCGATGGATCCCGTGGATCTGAAGGATCCGGTGGATCGCATGGATCCGATGGATCCCGTGGATCTGAAGGATCCGGTGGATCCCATGGATCCGGTGGATCGCATGGATCCGATGGATTCGGTGGATCCCGTGGATCTGAAGGATCCGGTGGATCGCATGGATCCGAAGGATCCGGTGGATCCGATGGATCCCGTGGATCCGGTGGATCCCGTGGATCTGAAGGATCCGGTGGATCCCATGGATCCGGTGGATCGCATGGATCCGATGGATTCGGTGGATCCGATGGATCCCGTGGATCTGAAGGATCCGGTGGATCGCATGGATCCGATGGATCCGGTGGATCCGATGGATCCCGTGGATCTGAAGGATCCCGGTGGATCCAATGGATCCGATGGATGGATGGATCCAATGGATCCGGTGGATCCCATGGATCCGGTGGTCGCATGGATCCGGTGGATCCCATGGATCCGGTGGATCCCATGGATCCATTGGATCCACCGGATGTGGATCCATTGGATCCACCGGATCCATTTTTTTCTTATACGTTTTTAGTTGTAACGTTTGTTCGTTCACTGCAACCAGGTATATCAATCATGTTTCCTCGCTACTCTGGTTTAAATAAATTATTACAAAGCCCAGTCGAATTGTAATCAACGACCCAACGTTTCGACACTCC